CCGAATTTGTCAAGCTGTTAAAAATCAGAATTAAACGGCATTTGCATGAAAATATCAGGGATTTTAGCTGAAAGTATTTGCTACCGAATGTGAAACTTTCAAGTTACTACTTGCGCCACGTGGGAAGTTTTAAATTTTTAAATTGGGAAGTGCATTTGCGAGGACACGCTCATTTTTCGACCAGATTTGGTGAATTTGTCAAGAATCAGAAGTCAGCAGGACTTGCATGAAAATTTCAGAGCTTTTAGCGGCAAGTATTTTCTACAGACTGTGAAAGTTTCAAGTTGCTGCCAGCACCACGTGGGCAGCTATGAATTCTTAAATTTTAAAGTGCATTTGCAGGAAAACGGTCACTTTTGGACACTTCTCGGTCGAGTCGTTAAAAAGCGGAATTGCTAGTGCTTTGCATTAACATTTCGGGGGTTTTAGCTTCAACTGTCCCAGAGAGTCTGTAAAAGTTTCAAATCACTACTTGCGCCACTTGGGAAGTTATAAATTTTGAAATTCAAAAGTGCATTTGCAAGAACGCTCACTTTCGCGTCCGAATTTGTCAAGTTGCTAAAAATCAGATTTCACAGCGACTTGCATGAAAATTGCAGGGTTTTTAGCTGAAAGCATTCGCTACAGACTCTGAAAGTTTCAAGTTGCTACTTGCGCTACGAGGAAAGTTATGGAGAAACAAACAAAAAAGCCAACAATCAAAGGCGACTTATTTTTCAAATAAGTCGCCTTTGATTGGGTCAGGTTGCAATCAACAGCGCCCAACCGGCCTAAAAACTCATTTTGTTTATGCTAATGTTTAAACTATTACAAAATAAAGCTGACGGCTTTATTCAAACAATAACGCAACTGGAGGAATTTGAGAAATTCACATAAATCATTAAGTTAGCGTGGTTCTTCCCTAAGCTTTTCTAGTACGTTCATTTGTTAACGGCCTTCTCAAAATGCCATCGGGCTTTTTGTTGAAAAATTGACACACTTTGGTTTGCCGTGATAACCAGGTTTTCCAACCAACCAGGTTGCCTTCAGCTGAATATTTCAATGAAGAAACTATCACATCGGTATAATTGGAACAAGCGCTGAAAAGTGCTTGGCACGATCGGAATTGTTAATAATAATCGGCTTTGCTTTATGATATGGATGTTTCAGTTGCGCGGCTTGTCCTTCATCCGGCATTATCTTAACGCTAAGTTTTAATCAATTACGCAAGCCGACCTTCAACACGGTGTTATCAGCACAAGATAACGCCGCAGACAGCGCTAATTAACGTTAGCAATTCCAATAGTGTTGATATTTTTATTAAACATCAACAATTTGCAACTTTTTGCCCGCAAATCTGGCGCATGTGATTAAAAGCCACAATTGTTCCTACTAAATTGGCAAATTCTGGACAACAATCTAGTTGAATTTTCAGTTAGTTTGAGCTTGCGACAATTACTTCCACTGGTTTTTTCAGTTTAAAATTTTTTAGGCACAACTGGAAAATCCATTGGACTCATTTTGAATTTTGCCTTGCATTTATGGAGGCGCAGCTTGCAAATTGATCAACATTAGCAAATCTAGTTACATTGAGAGGTGCAGAAATTGATGTTTCTGAGAGATGAACCCGAAAAACTTGCAAATTTACCCATAAAAACGCTGGTTTGGCCTCTGTGAGATGTTTGCGTGTTAACCGCGTTCTGTATTCCGGTTTCGAGGGCAGAAAACTAGGTTAAAAGGGGGGCGATCAGTGGATAAGGGTCTGAAAAAGGGGAGCGTCCGCCCAATCAGAATCAGCTCCATAGTTCCCGCTAGTAACCAATTTTCCCAGTTCTCAGGCTGACCCAAAACGAACGTAATTGCAGTCATTTTCCCCTATCTTTTCTTGATAAATTACGCAACAATTCTAAGGTTGATTACGATTGAGGTGCAAGTGATTCACTAAATGATCTAACAGCTTTCCTTGCTCAATGCAAAACGCCTTGGCAATGGTACTTAGGAAAAGTCGTGCCAACTGGCACGCTTATATTCTGTGTCAGAAAATGCTATTTTCGCGCTGTGCTATGATGGAGGATTGATTAAGTTGAACTATCCCAAGTTGGGATGATTGGCTTGATGATGGCAGGAGATACGAAACGAGCTGTTGGGTTACGTATCGGATTGCGCAGCGACTCACCTGTTACCTCCTTTGGCCTAACCAAGGCTGCTTTCACAACTTTCCCCATTTTACTTTCACACACAGTTAATTTAATAGGCTTACACCAATCGCCAATTATCATTTTCATGCTGGGATATTCCGCGCTTCACTTCGCTTCCATTTCCCGCAGATAGACTGCAAAAGAGTGGCTTTTTCAATCAGCAGCAATGAGCCAAAGTGCCAGAGGCTACGTGAATGGATTACCAATCCCGGTTGTTCTTGTGCCAGAACTTTTTGCAATTTAAGTGCGCTTAAAAGTGGAATTTCACGAAATATTGCAGCTGAGCTAAGCGATTTTGTTATCTAATCGTGATGCAAAGTGTTCGAATAATTTTGCAAATATCAACCAAAGCAGGCCAGGCTGTTACACGTAATCTGGGGATTTTTTGAAATAAGTGAAAGTCCGTAGCTAAACTGCACAGTTTTCGGATTTAACTGAATCTGCACTCACTTTGGAAGGTTGCAAAACTGGCGGGCTGGAAGAAGCGATTGTGACGCTCACAGAGCAACATTTTCTCTATTAAACTGGGCAAACGCAATCTCAATTTGTGTTCCCAATTTTGATCTGCAAGGCTTTGAAGAAATCCTTGCAAACGGTTGGCTCAGGAGCGAACAAAAGGCGAGCGTGTTTTTTAAAAAATTGTCAAAAATTCCTTAATTACTTGAAGGACGCGCAAATTGCTCCACAAAAAGAGCCACATTTGCTCTATTGAACTGAGTAAATACGAACTCGCTAAGTACATCCGGTCTTGCCTGAGGATTTTTTCAAAAATATGTGATTTATGCTTCGAGCATCCGATAGACGCCTCGTGGTTAAAAATTCGCGAAAAATTAACTAGATTTCCTACATATTTGCCAATTGCCACATGGATAGAGCAGGATTTTCTATTTTAAATTGTGTTAACGCCAACTTAATATGTGATTGAAATTATGCCTGCCGAATTTTTTAAAAAAGTCTTACAAACGTCCGATTTAAAAAGCTCAGCTTGTTTGAAAAAATTTTTTAAATCGGCTACTTTACCGAGAGACGTTTTTCGCCAGAAAACCCCATTAGAGTCTGTCTGCAGCTTTAGAACGGTTTTCCAAGAAATGTTTTTAGGACGGTTTTCTCAAATTTTTCCGAATTTTTGAAGCTTCAACCCTCAAAAGTGCATAACTCGCTTGTTTTTCGGTCAATTTCCAAATTTCAAAAACCGCGATTTAGAGCCTTCAATTTCCTGCGCAGCCAAAGTTTACCCGTTGAAAATTTCTGAAAATTGACAGAGTTACGAGGAAAATAGTGGTGATCGCCCTTGCTTCGAAACTCCCAACCTTCAAAACTCGTTTACTCGAGAAC